GTTATTTGATAAGTTGTATATGTCTTTTTAAAGTCTAATAATATAAAATTATGAATGTACTCCTACATGATAAAACCTTGAATTGTTAGAAGTGTTTGTTTGTAGCTGAATAGCTAAATGTATGTTTTTAAGTTAACATTTTTAAATCTATTTCTTTCCCTGATGCAAACAGATTTTAATTCAAATGGGAAATGCTGCTAGGAATACATTAATTTCATTTTCTCAGCAATCAATAACAAGTTTGTTTCTAACTGTCCTTCCATCTTCAGAATGCCAAACCTTCATATTTTTCACAATTTTTTGTGTTTGCTGTTTTTTTTTCTGTGATTGTAAAATTGAAAATTAATAGCTGAAAAAGAGCTTAAAGTAATTTTTTTAATAACTTAAAAGTTTTTCTATTTTCTTATTAATGGTTTTCTGTCATGATCAGACTTCTGTATCATTTTTTTACCCTTCATTTCTCTTACCACATCATCTTTTCAAAGACATTCATTCTCTTTTAAATTCATTATAAGATTACTTTATATTCTTGTTTTATATCTGCTTATATTTTTAGTTTTATATGTCCTTATTAAGAAATATATTGAATAACTGTTTCTGTCTTTCTTGTTTACTGTGACATTTGTCAAAGTTACTTACTTTGAAACTGATTTTCTAGCTTCAGTCATTGATTCCACCCATAAGTGCAAATAGATACTGTAATCTGTTGAGAAATTCAAATTTGATAAGTTTGGAGTGGTAACAGCTGATTATATTTGCCAATTGATTGGCTATTTGTGTGTGTGCTCTTGATAAAAGTGTAAATCATTTGATTTTGCACTACATGGTATATTTACAAACTTCTCATGACATCTGTTCCAACTGATATCCTGTCTCCATTGTTTATTCTAAAATACATTGTGTTTCTCTTCTGAAATGGGACAAAATATTTTTATTTGGAAGGTTATTTAATTTTAGATTCTTGATTTACCCTTTGAAGAAGAAGAAAAAAAATCCATAAGCAAAAGCCCAGTGCTTGGACAGCTGATAGGGTGATGTGTAATAGACATTATTATGTCTAGTGGCTTGGTATTTTGATGTGCTTTCATAGAAATGTTTGCAACGTATTTGTAGATTTTTTTTTTTTTTTAAAGATCTCTCGCAGATAAGCATGTCTTGCTATACTTTTATCAGTGCAAAACTTAAAAAAACTTTGTTTAAAAAAAAAAATAGTATATGTAAATAAAAGCCAAAATATTTTTCCTACTTTGCATAAGCAAAGTAGGGAAAATTCTCTCCTCATTAAAATTGGCAAGAAAAGAGATAATGGATAAGTGCAAATTTATGAAATTCAGTTGAATACAAGGATTTCCATGAATCTAACAATTTCTGAAATTTAATGTCTAATTTTAATGAATAAACTCTTTATTTAATATTCATTTGTCCAATTGGCTTGAGCGTCCTGGGTATGACGATAAACTACGTTCAACAGCAAGGCCTCTGATAATGATTTTGAAAAAATAATGTTGCCAGCTATACGTTTTTGAGGAAAAAATGTTACCACGTATACGTTTTTGAGGAAAAAATGTTACCACGTATACGTTTTTGAGGAAAAAATGTTACCACGTATACGTTTTTGAGGAAAAAATGTTACCACGTATACGTTTTTGAGGAAAAAATGTTACCACGTATACGTTTTTGAGGAAAAAATGTTACCACGTATACGTTTTTGAGGAAAAAATGTTACCACGTATACGTTTTTGAGGAAAAAATGTTACCACGTATACGTTTTTGAGGAAAAAATGTTACCACGTATACGTTTTTGAGGAAAAAATGTTACCACGTATACGTTTTTTGAGGAAAAATGTTACCACGTATACGTTTTGAGGAAAAAATGTTACCGCGTATACGTTTTGAGGAAAAAATGTTACCACGTATACGTTTTTGAGGAAAAAATGTTACCACGTATACGTTTTTGAGGAAAAATGTTACCACGTATACGTTTTTGAGGAAAAATGTTACCACGTATACGTTTTGAGGAAAAAATGTTACCACGTATACGTTTTTTGAGGAAAAATGTTACCACGTATACGTTTTTGAGGAAAAATGTTACCACGATGATACGTTTTTGAGGAAAAAATGTTACCACGTATACGTTTTTGAGGAAAAATGTTACCGCGTATACGTTTTTGAGGAAAAATGTTACCACGTATACGTTTTTGAGGAAAAAATGTTACCACGTATACGTTTTTGAGGAAAAAATGTTACTAACGTATACGTTTTGAGGAAAAATGTTACCACGTATACGTTTTTGAGGAAAAATGTTACCACGTATACGTTTTTGAGGAAAAATGTTACCACGTATACGTTTTTGAGGAAAAAATGTTACACACGTATACGCTTTTTGAGGAAAAATGTTACCCGTATACGTTTTTGAGGAAAAAATGTTAACAGAAATGGATTTTTGACAAAGCAAAAATATTACCAGAAAAAAAAAAGTTGTCGGCATTAAATGACCCATAGAAGTTGATATGCCATAAAACAAACCAAACCATTTTGCTTGAACATTTCTTTTTGTCAGTTGTTCATGCAGAAAGTATACATAGGAATAACATCATTTAATTTTTGTATGTACTGTATACATAAGTGTGCAAGAAGACAATCAGCTACTGTTGTTTTTTTTGGTGGTGTTGTTTTTGTTTTGTTTTTTTGGGGGGGGTATGAATTGAAAGTGGTTTCTTTGCAAAAAAACAGGTATTTAAGTTGTCAGCAACCTCTTTATTTTAACCTTATTAGGGAATTAGGTTAATATTCATGATATTATCTATAAGATAATTATTGTTCAATAATAAAATCCTTCTTTGATTTACATTGATATATATGATACAAATATCATATATATCAATGTAAATCAAAGAAAAACAGTTTTTAATTAAACTGAATTAATTATAACCGAAGTGTTTGAGGAATAGACTTGCAAGTTCAATGGATAGTAATTTATTCAATATTTTATTTTCAAGTAGAAAATTGTGGGCTCAAGTTCAAGCCACATTATTATACTTACATATCATTTGTCTCCTTATTAAAAAGAAAATCTTGAAAAAAAAAAAAAAAAAATCAAGTTTAACTTTTTCCTTTTATTATTGCTTTTATTAACTTGTAATTCTGCAAATCTCTTGATTAAAGCTTGGTAAATTTATCATCAAATATAAAGTTAGTGATAGCTTCTCTCATTTAAATTGGTAGTAGTATTTGTTGTGTTACTAGCAAAATACTACTACAACACTGTGACAGTATTACAAAATATGGAATATAAGATCACCAATTTGCACAACATGAAGTACACAGTTCAATGAACTTCTGAAGAGATATGGGACAACCTGTCTTTATTAAAACACCCATTAACAAATGTCAGCATCAATCATATACTTACAGAACATGGATTCATGCTCAATAAATCCATTCATCTCAATACCAAGGCATTACAAGAAAGAGATAATGTTATTTGGGATGGATGCTTATCATTTTGTACTGGACCAAATTATGGTACTACATCTGATTATTCATACAAATCACTAAAAACAATCAGCAAAATTCTACTCATCTTACTGTCATGGAAGATCTACACATGTACAAGGTAACAGATATATAACGCATAACAATCAACATATACATATTCAGAATGATCCTACTGATCCTAGCAGTAAAAAGAAAAATACAATCAAATGGTATATACACTGTGGCTGACAGAACTTTTATAAATCAAGTCATATACATGAGTAAAGATGTGCCAAGGTTAGTTTATGTCAATTGTTCATCCATTGTTAAACCAAATCAGGCTCAAACCACTTTATATTTCACTTAAATTTAAATTGTGATCAATATCGATTTAGGTCACTTATTATTAAACTTGATATATTTGGAAATTCTCAACTAAACTGAAGGGGTTTTCTTACTAATTGAGTATCTGCCAACAAAGAGGGACAGAAAACTCAGTAGCACCAGAATCAAACACTGGATTATGACACGCAGGGCATGGACAAGACTCCCACATGGGAATACCACACATGAGACGAACGTAGCTGAGACACCAGACAAACAAGGACAAACAAATTTGAAACAACACTGGGTAACAGGAACAAAACTCCTCACTAACACATGGAAATCCTGTTGTGTGGTCAATGTAACATACTACCAAGATCTGCCTCTTCCCAGAAAATGCGACTGCTTTTAAGGAGCCTAAAACTTTAGCAGTTGGCTAGCAAAGGAATCATTTGCATAGCTAACACTGCTCAGCTCACTGTCCCAATTATCTTATGGGGAAGAACTGGTAAACACTTTCTTTCTTCATAGCTAGGCATTCCAAGGTTTGCACTTGCTCTTGTTCTGGCAGGGCAGCCATGTGCTCTCTTTCTTCAGAGACAGCACACTAAATGTTGTCTCTTTGACCAACAGGGGTGGGCAACATTATCAGTAGTGATTGGCTGCTCAGTCTGCTTTTCATTTCTGCTTCATAAACTCACATAATTTCTTCTCTTAATTTTATTTTAAGATGCTGCTAAAAGAATGTAATTTCAGAAATACTTTTCATACATTTGTATATATATTCAAATGTTTTTATGAGTCTATTATTAATATTATTCCTATAGTCAATATTTGAAATGATATGCATTGAGGAGAAAATATTAAAAACAGTAATATATGGCAATATTTTGCCAGGAAGACACCTTTTATCAGTATTTGTATCTGTATTTTGTCATAGTTAATAGCAATATTTTTAAATCAACCTTATGCTATTCATATTGATATTTACTAATTAAGACCAAATGATGGATTATGATTGCCTCGCATCAATTTTTTTAAATGGGGAAGTTTACCTGCTATGAACATCAGTATTCAAAATCTTTGTCTTTTGTTTTTTACTTGAGGTTCAATACTGAACATGAGTGGAGAAATCCACAACTATCATCACCTGACAAGTAAATTGTATTCTTCATATTAATCAAAAGACAATATCTTAAATGGTAACTGTGTATATTCTTAAATACTCATCTTATTGCAGCTACTGAGCCAAAATAACCAAATTATCTTGCAGCACAATTTTGACATTTCATTAACAAATGTAATTTTCTGCTATTTTCTCCATTCCTTCACTCCCTTATTTTCTCCATTCCTTCACTCCCTTATTTTCTCCATTCCTTCACTCCCTTATTTTCTCCATTCCTTCACTCCCTTATTTTCTCCATTCCTTCACTCCCTTATTTTCTCCATTCCTTCACTCCCTTATTTTCTCCATTCCTTCACTCCCTTATTTTCTCCATTCCTTCACTCCCTTATTTTCTCCATTCCTTCACTCCCTTATTTTCTCCATTCCTTATTTATTTTCTCCATTCCTTCTCCCTTATTTTCTCCATTCCTTCCTCCTTATTTTCTCCATTCCTTCACTCCTTTCCATTCCTTTCTCCTTATTTTCTCCATTCCTTTCCCTTATTTTCTCCATTCCTTTATTTTTCTCCATTCCTTCACTCCCTTATTTTCTCCATTCCTTCACTCCTTATTTTCTCCATTCCTTCACTCCCTTATTTTCTCCATTCCTTCATTCCTTCCCTTATTTTCTCCATTCCTTCACTCCCTTATTTTCTCCATTCCTTTCCTTATTTTTCCATTCCTTCTCTTTATTTTCTCCATTCCTTCACTCCCTTATTTTTCCATTCCTTTTTTCTCCATTCCTTCACTCCCTTATTTTCTCCATTCCTTCACTCCTTATTTTCTCCATTCCTTCACTCCCTTATTTTTCCATTTTCCTTTATTTTTCCATTCCTTCACTCCCTTATTTTCTCCATTCCTTCACTCCTTATTTTCTCCATTCCTTCACTCCCTTATTTTCTCCATTCCTTCACTCCCTTATTTTCTCCATTCCTTCACTCCTTTATTTCATACTGGAAGTCATTTATGCATTTTCCTGGAAGACATTAGAAAAAAAACTGCAAAATGATAGTAGAAGGAAAAATATATTAAATTTTTATTATGAACCTTTACAAAACAAATGAAAAAGCCTACCTCATTTCTGTATAAATAGACAATTCCTCAACAACTAAATAAATAAACAGATTTTATCTTGTTTAGTAAACTATTTTACAATCTGCCCAAACAGTTTGTGTTTGGGGCTTGATTCAAAGAAATAGTATGATCAACTCACATTGGTTGGGTTGGGTAAGCATTGTTTTAGGCAGCACCTCTTCATTGCACTAAGAGCAGAAAGGTTAGGATCAATTTCCAATACTCAAGGCATCCCAATAGGGCAGTGCCAAGGTAACTGCAATTTTCATTACCAATCCAATGTACACATGCGATACCTAATTGAAATTTGGCTTTTTTCCATATTCCACTAAAATGATCATGCAGATCATGTGTTTTTGCAATTGCTTTCTAAATATTTGCCACTGTGAACTCAAAACATCAATTTGCTGCTAATATTCTTCATAGAAACTATTGTCTGCCTGCTTATTCTTTAACACATTACTTGATGATTAATACAAATCACTCACTAACTCACTCACTTATGTTGTATATTTGTAAAAGAATAATGTTTTGAACTATTTATTCACACCATGTGTTTGCTTTTTTTTTTCCCCCACCCAGGAAGTGGAACGAGAAATTTCCTTCAGAACAGAGTCAGGTCTCTACTATTCCTATTACAAACAATTAATCAAATCTCCTTCAATAGCACAAGGTAGGTTTTTATATATATATATATATATATATATATGTTCTTTTTTTTTTTTTTTTTTTTTTATCCACTATTAGAATGATTCTTTTCATTTGTAACTTTTTATGCAATGAACAGAATAAAATGCCATTCCATTTTTATGAGACTATAGAAAATAACATGTCAATAACTTTGAGTCCTTAATATATCCAGTATTGTTTGGATGCTCCAATCTCTTCTCTTTCTGTATGTGTAAGGGATAAAAAATAGCAATAGTATCATTTTATTTAATTTCTTTATCTGTGAAATTTATTGTGTCAAGCTCAGCATTAACCTGAAGAATAGTTTCCCAGTCAAAACACAAAATTTGAACTTTGGTTTCTGATAAATTTTTTGTCTTTCTTTACTCACATAAATAGTTAATCTATCAATGCATTAGGCTGTAAATTTAAAATATTTTATGTAATAATATATTTCTGTCTCTACCATGTATAATAGCTCCTACATAGTTTTCTAAAAACACAATTCACTTCAGAACCTATAAACTCATTAATAACACTATTCTTAACACTATTAAAACTTTGGACATTTTTATAACAAACTTTAGTTTGGATGGAATATTATTAAGAAAATTAGGATAATCTTGTCACAAAATAGTATATTGTAGCTAGGACAATACAAAGTGTAAGAACAATGTAATATAAGCAGAAGATAGTTTTAACAAATAATTTTATCTTGCATGTATTTTTTTAGTCTTGTTTTCATCAAGTGTTATTTATAAACTTTTCAAACTGTAAATAGTGTCTGTATTATTAGAATATATAAATTGATTTCTTCTGTTTCTAAATTTGAAGAATTATAAATTGATTTTTTTTAAATATTTTAAAAGAATTAGGGCAATGAACTAATCTGCTACAAGCTAAATTTAAGCCTACATACATTGTACTTTCCACTGTTTGATGAAGGATTTGACCATTTATTTCTTTATTCAAAAATTCCATAATTCAAAATTTTATTTTAATGTTTGTTTTTTTTTTTTTTGTTTTTTTTTTGTTTTTGTTTTTTTTGTTTTTTTCTGGGATTATGAGGGAGAGCTAAAACGGTTTTGCCATGAACGTCTTCTCAAATTCAGTATTTCAATAATCAAACATCAGAATATTGATTTGGGGAAGTGGGTTGAGCTTTTCAGCATCCTCTTATGGTAAAAATCTTTTGCTTTTATTATACTTTTTGTGGTTTTCCAAAATGCCTCATGTTCTTTAGCATCTTTTTGTGTATTTAATGATTCCTTAAATGCACAAAAATGCTTCTATGACAAAACAATTTCTAACATCAAAGTAACCTATTGTTACTTTATTGACATCTGGGCCATCTTGAAGTGGCAACTCTTTGATCAGATACTTGTGTAGGTTCAATTGAATTCCTTTCAACACAAAGACTTTTGATATCATGACACAAGACAAAATTAGATAAAAACTTTAGGCAGCATGGATCAGGCTTTAGATCCAAAACTGAAATTAACCCAGAATTTGCAAATATAATCCACTAAAGTGTAGTAATATGACCACTTTCCTCATTCTGCCAATCCATGGCTAGATAAATAAGTTGTCATTTATGGTATGGGCCATGTGTTGCATTATCTACATGAAACTGCTATAGCTGTAGAGAATAATAATGTCCCTCTGAAAGGTCATTTTGTTTAAGTGTAGCTGTCCCAACAGCAAAGACATAGATGAGTATTTAATAAGGAAATAAATTAGGGGAAAGTTCCCTCATATTCTCTCTCGAAAAAAAAGAAATGGTTAATAAACAGTTGTATACTGTAAGGGAGTGATTAATGTTCACTAGTGATATTCTGTTCAGGAGACCAGCTGAGATCAAATTACCTTTTGGTTTTCCATGTATGTGTTTTATTCATTAGTGTGGCAAAATTGAACTGAATTGATTCTTCAAATACCAGAGCAAGTTGAACTTCTATGAGAATAGAATGAACACGCATCTGAGGTCATCGAATTTAATAGAAAGAGGTCTTTATTGTATCCTTTGATATAAAAGCAATCTTTAAGGACTCTGAACACTTTCTATCTTTCCAAAATGTCTGTAGAATAAGAGTTATTTATAAAAATGAAACTGCATAAATCGAGATTAACATCCCTCCCATCATCAATAGAACATTAGTTTAAGATGACTGGTTAGCTTTTGGGGGACAGTGCCAGGATGATACAAAATCTTTTTATTAAACTGTTATTATATTTATTCTAAAAGCAGCTAATTTCTTAAAATAAAAGAAAATTCTTACTTTCCACCAACAGTGATGCACACCCTAACAAAATATTTTCTCAATTATAACTTATTCATGATGATTAATGTTGTCTTGCAATGAATATTTAGGATTGTAGTCACTTTTTATTCCATCCTATCCTTCTGATAAAGCAAAAGTTTTCAGTTACTGATCAATTCAAAATAAGAACAGTTGACTTCTGACTTTATTAACTGGCTTCTTAAGTATACATGTATATCCTCAAAATGTTATCTTTCAGGATTCTTTTGCTGTTTTATAAAGATATTACAATAAAAACCAAAATACTGTAGCAGTAGAATGTATCTATAGCATTTCTCTTTATACATTTGTGTTGTCTCATCTTACACTGATAAAGACTTATCATTCCTATGTAACTGCTCTATGTTCTCTGTTTTTTTTACAGGCTGGCATGATTTAATGTATGATAATATTACTGAACATCCCAGTACAATCAACATCATAGAAAGAATGAATATCCACCAAGAGATATTGCTGGCATCTATTTATAAAAGCTTTTCCTTTATTCAAGTAAGTTGTAGTATATTCAATGAGTTTGACACTGACAATTAGTGCTTAGAACTTTGGAACAGATACCATGAGATTTAAGGTTTTGTCTCTTTGGTTTGATGAGTGTTATTGAAACAAAGACATAAAAACATAAAACATTCATAGTGAATTTAAGTAATGGTTGTACTGAGAACTTCACATGCACATAATGATTGTGTATAGCTTTTAACTAATAAAAATAGTCAAATAAATTCAACTTGTTCATGTTAAAAATTCATTTAAAGTTAAGGCTTATAACCCAACAAAACACATTAAACTATTAGATAAAAATTTCATGTGCAGTATTTGGCTTAAAGACACACCTGGTATGTTAGGACTTTTACAGGTATATTAGTTCACCTCCTGCTATTAAATAGTATTCTTACAGCTAAAGAATTACCCTGTAGCCTATTTTATATTTTTCTTATCTGTAGATGGAACTATAGAAAAAATATAATTCTCTTGGCTGTAGATATGAGATGACAATAAGACATTTTTTTATTTTCATTACTATATATGGTTTAAACCTTCTATTTACATGAATACAAATTAGTTTTCCTTAAGTGAAGAATTCTTCTTCATACCATAAAATTTATTGATCTGTCACTTTTTCCTTATTTTTATTGTTCATTTTTTTTTGTGTTATTACAGCATTCATTTCAGCCCATTTATTTCTACATCAACACTATTTTTACTCTTCATGCCATGTTAGTGGGTTGTCTTTTTCTCCTCACTTGGATGCTGAGTAATTCCTGGTTGGCTGGCATTCTTACATCTTGTTTTTACATCTTCAACAGGTAATTGACTTAAAAAACCTTTGTCTCTTTATTCAGTCTTCATTATCATCTTATAGATGTTCCATATTCTTCATTGACAAATAATCCTTGCTTTTTTATTCCACTTGTGAAACTCAATAGTTTCTTTTATTGTGTAATCATTTAAGCATCTTGACAATTTAACTACATCTGATTTGTTTCTTTTAGATTTTTGCAATTGTTAATATTTATCTTCCAAGTGAATTAAAAAATTATTGACCGGACCTTTATTACTTAACATTGCCAAAACACATTTGATATTTGGCATTCATGCATATATTATCCCTGTTGATTTAAAATTAATAAATTTTAAAATGGGTTTCATTAAGTTGGCATAAAAAAAATGATAAAGTAGTACTGATTTGAGATGTTTTACTATGACTAATTTTTATCTATCAGTAATTTATAATAAATTCCATCATAAGCTTGTTGCTTTAAAATAAAACCCTTTACTTTCGAAAAGTAAGATTATGTATGTAAAGTTTAAATATTTCTGTTAAATTCTATAAAAATTTGATTAAATTTTGTGTCAGCTTAGACAGATGATAGCATTGTTCCAACATATGTATCAATACAATTTATGACATATTTAATGTGGCATAAAGCAGTTGAAGTGAGGAAGATAGTGTTGTGCTAAGTACTAGTTTTTAATTTGACTCAAACATCAAGAACTGGTGTCAGAGAGAACAGCTATTTAATTCACTAAACAGTTGTTAAATTCTTTCCCTTTATAGTTGAATATTTTATCATAAATTTCTCCTTGTCTATATGCAAAATATTGTGTAATTGTTTTTTTTGGGGGGGGCGTTCTTATAATTAATTAGTAATTAATAATACAGTTTACTATTACACTTTTGGAACCATAATGTCTACATCTGACCTCAGTTGTTAAAGTTCTGACCTAAGTTAATTGATTTGAATGAAGTTGCAAATCCTAAAAATGTCTCCCTAAAAATTAAAAATGAATAAACTTAATTAGCTAAGATTAAAAAAAAAAAATTCTATACCCTTAAGATTTGGAAATTCTTTAATTTGAAATTTTTGTACATTCATTTTAATTATTATACATGTCCTGAAATTATTTTCTCTCTTTCAGGATGGATACAACACGGGTAGAATATGTGATACCTTTGCGAGAGAGTTTCTCTCTTCCATTTTTGTGGCTACAACTGGTAGCTATTTCATACTATTTGCGAGACAAAACCAATCCAGTTGCCACTGTAAGTGAGAATATGTAACTTTTTTCATTCTTTTGAAGTTCACTAGCCTTAAAATAGGAAAGTCTCACATTAATTTTGCATTCTTTCTATCAAAACCGCCAAGTAAGGCTATAGAATTCATTTCTCTTGGTAATATTCTCTTTCACTATAGCATTCAAAAAATTCAAAGGGTCTTTCAATGTGACTGACTGTTGTCTCCCACTGAGAAATACTTCTCTCTTAAAATTATTTAAATAATCATCGAGATGAGCTTTATTATTATTTTCATTTTGTTTTCATTTTCTCATTTTTATTTACTTGTATGCCTTTTGCACTTTAGCTAGTTTTGTAATATAATTTAAATATGTATAAAAACATCTTCTACACCTCCTTTCAATTTCAATAATTGTATGTAATTTGTCAACTGCTTCTTAAAACATTCTTATTCTTTACACATTCTCTTTTCCTTTGATTTGATTTTATGTTTACTTCTGCTTGAGAGATGTTGAGATTTATAAATACTAACTTTTCAGCTTTTATGTTAAAATGGCCATTCTCATGTTGGCTTAAACAAATAACATTGTTTCAGAATATGCATCAATACAACTCATTAAATTTCTGTTTTTTGGGGGTTTTTTTGTTTTATTTTATTTTTTTTGTTTTGTTTTTTTGTTGTTTTTTTTTGTTTTTTTTTGTTTTGTTTTTTCTATTTAAGCACTCACTAAAATTAATGTGTGGCTTTAGCTGTGCATTATGACCTAATCTGGAAATTATAACCTGCAGTTATAATTTATTTGTACAACATAGACTAGTTTGCAAAATGGTATATGTTTCTTTCATGATGAATACTCAATATTAATGACAGGATTAAGTAAATGTAATTAGTATAAAATGTTATATTTTCCATATGCTTAGTTTGGTTACTTTGAATAGCTTGAAATAGGCTTTTAATTTATTGTTAACCTAAGTAATTTTTTTAAATATAAGAATGGAATGGATAATAATAAACCCTTTGAACAAAGGGAGACACCTTGCCTAAACTTATTTTGAGTGTTTCATGCAAATTGACATTTTAATTTAATGAAAATAAATTTCAGTTCTATTTTCATAACTTGTGAATGATTTTTTTTTTTTCATTAAATGTATTGGTATATAAGATTTTTGTTTTGGGCTTATTTAGTATCACACATTGTTGATGAAAAATGCATATATTATTTCAGTGATGTTCTCTCAAACTTTTTTTCACAATTGTGTAAGAATTAATAAAATTGGCAATTTTGTCTATTTTAAACAAAACTGATAATTCATTTAATGCACTTAATTCTTTGATAGAATCTTCAATTCTTGGTTGTAATTTTGATTTTTGTAGTTTTCTTCTTTTGGTATTATATAAAATATCAATAATATTAAAATAATTTTTAAAAATTTCTTTAGCCAAGTAAAAATAACTACTTTCTATAATACTATTTATTATTTTTGTCTCCCCAGAAACTTTCTATTGCTGTGATTGCACTTAGTACATTTGCCTTCACACTATTCTGGCAATTTAGCCAATTCATTCTCCTGCTACAGGCCTTTTCATTATTTGGTGTTTGGATACTTGATGTCGTCCCCTCTTCAAAGGTTTCTATCAATTTCTATTATTTTTATTTAAAAAAACTGAGAAAAGGAATTTTTTTTTTTTTTTTTTTTTTTTTTTTTTGATGATTACTGATATGACGTTGAATGAGATTAAAAGTTTGGTTTAATGAATGTGGTCATCAGAAGACAAGCATATTTTTAGGGATGAGCAAATCAGATATAACTGTGAATATGGTAGCACACTAATGATCCATATTTCAGCAATAGTTGCAAAAAAAAAGTATCATTGCTACTAAGGGATTATTTCTGTAATGTTTATGCATTTCTTTCTGGACTAAAGCCATGTTAAGTATTTCCATTGTGTAATTTCTCAAAAACATATCTAGTGTTTTTGATTTCTAAAATCTGTTTTTTTTTTTTTTTTTTTTTTTTTTTTATTTAATGTTTGTTAAAAATGATTTTAAGGAAATTATTCTACAGAAAACAGATAAAATTCAATATAATAAATTACAAATTATTATAATAGGTGTGTATGTTTTATGTAGAATGTGTATCAGTTTAATGAAGTTCCAAACGGAGCATTGACTAAAATAAGAAAAATTGATATGTAAAATGTTTTCTTTGTTATATTTTTTATATGAAAATTTCCTTTTCCAATGGAACTTTCAGATAAAGCCAATATTAATAATGCAGGCAGGTTCTATTCTCTTTGTGTGCATCCTGCAGTTCACCAACAAAATGTTACTTGGTTCCCTTGTCCTCAGTTTTAATATTTCATTTTGGCTGTTGATTTTATTTAGGGTAAGTAAAAAAAAAATAAAATAATTTGAAATTGCATTTTAAATTTGCATTAGTTTTACACTTACTTAAAACTTTCTTAAAATACTACAAACTTTCATATATTAATTATACTAAATTTAAAACTGAAATTGTTTTATCATTTTAAGATTGAAAAAGTTTCTTTTCGTGACTATTATTTTCTTTTTACTTAGTTCTAATTTACATGCAGGCATATAGACATGCAAATTTAATTTAAGACCTGGAAATTGCATTTGAATACATTTGCTTTAGATTGGTAAGTTTCTGAAGAATATCTTTTGTTTCCTTGATTTAGTCACTTGATGCGTGTCATTAAGAAACTAGTCCCAGATTGATATTTTCAGTGAAGATAGGCAGAAGTCTAATTGAAAATGTTTATATTTATTCTTGAAAAAGACAGTGAATTACTGGCTGGTTTCCATGTATTATTATATTTGGATTATTTAAATAACCATAATTTGTATTTAATTTTTAATATTTTTCATTTAATTTAATTTTTATTTTCAGGGCAATTCTATGCATTCAAAAAATATTTTTCTTCAATTGTTGAGAGTGACTGTTTACAGTGTTGCAGTCTTGACACTGATGGTAGTCGTTAATACATTAATTAAGGTAAGTTTTTTTTTTTTTTTTTTTTTTTCCTGAAAATAATTACAAAAAGACATAATGGACACTTGTAATTAATTCAAATTCACGAAAGAATGTTAAAGTTCCTTTTAATTATTTTGTCCTAAATTGTTTTTATCTTAAAGATCAATGATCTCTCTCAACATGGTTTTGTGAATGAATATTTCTGAAAGCATACTAAATCTGATTCGGTTCTGCTGCTGCTCAATAAAGTCTATACCAGACTGGCAGATCCTGTCGCAACTGGAAGTTCTGAGAAATTATAGTAAGAAAGTAACTTTAAAGCATTTTGGTTTTTGCAATACTATTTCTTCTCCCCAATGCTGGTTCTGTTATTGTTAAAACAACAAATTATTTCAGGATGAGCAGGTTTCTTCAAAAAAGTCCTTGTATCTCTTTCATGATGCCTCTCCATAATATTGCTATATCTACTTCTTCTTTATGGGGTTCCTCTGTAAGGTTGTAGCATATAAACTGAGGAGTGTAACATGATGTGTGTTGTGCAATGTGAGTTGACTGTAGATGATGCAGTTGGAGTAACTTTTTGGTAGGTTGGTGTATTTGAAAGCAATGAAGTCCCTGATCAGGAAAGTTTAATGCCTAATTAGCCACTGTATTATTTCTAGTTTGCCTGAGCCATAAAGAAGATATTTTGCTCTTTTAAACTAATTTTGTCTGAGAAGGGAATCTCACTTGGCAAGTTAATGAGCAATTATACTGTTTTGATTATTACTGTGAAATTATTGACTTTTAATGCTGAACTAATGTGCCAAGTGTTCTTATCGACATATATAAAATATAATGCGTATCTTACACACACAAGTAGTCAGAAAAAAAAACCTCTGTAGAGATGTTGAATCATGCTATCTCAGTTGCTTACTTATTTGTTTGTACATGTATACATCTCTCCTATATGCCATAAATGTTTGATTGTTGGTTTACATTGAACCTATGAATGGGTGCAAATAGCCACTAGTCAATGACATATTTAGACTCAGCCCATGTACCACAAACATACCCCACACCATTATGGGACCATCACCAGCCTGCATGGTGTGTAGTTGACAACAGAGCTTTGCATTACACCTGAACTCTATCATCAGCCTGAAACAACTGGGATTTTGACTCGTTGAACCATGCAATATGTTACCAGTCCTTCACAGTCAAATTGGTGACATTATGAGCCTAGATGAAGCGCTGTGTTACATGTTGTGTTACCTGGGGTGCCCTGTGGTATCTATTGCTTCCATACCCATGGGAGCTAATGAACACTTAACTTACTTGCTGGATATATATTGGGTACCTCCTGCATTGAATGTGATTTGAGCCAGTGTCATTTATCTGTTACCACAGACAATTCTGGTCAAACTACACTGACTAGGATCATTAAAAACCCATGGTCAACCACTGTGCTGTTCATGGGGGGTGGTAATACCTTCCATCAGGTATTCTTGGCACAATGTTGTTGTTGAAGAGATGTCAAATATCCTCGCACATGTCACATTTGTCTAGCACTCACTATCCTACCTCATTCAAACTCTTATAATTGATGTCCTCTTGCCTTTCCATGAGCAATGAAGTCAGCGTTCACAATGACTCAGAATACAACTGTTATGATTCTGATCATGTTTATGATATCAAGGAACTTACTATTACTGCTATTCTATAACACTATAACATCTAGTATCTTATATATATATATATATATATATATACCCCTTTTTCACAGTGTATAGATACTACATTCTGATTTTAGGCAGAAGTGCCAATCCATACATAAAAGAATAACTGGTTGAGGTGACAGGTGCTAGTATTTTAATAAATTTTCAACTTGTTTCACAGTTCCTTATTGGGTTGGAAGCAGACGAACATATATTCAAATTTGTTCAGAGCAAATTTGGTTTCGGTTATTCCAGGTATGTACTTTTTTTTGTGGTAACAAATTGATTGATATCAAATTTTTCAAAGCATTAACAGGGATAATTTAAGAATAATGATAACAATGATAAGGAAAGAATAAACAACTGAATTTCAGTGATTCCACTGTCACCTTTTTCTTCACTACCAAAGGAAGCTGATACAAAGATAATTATTTACATTGTTCGCATTATCATCCTCATCTTTGTTGCCATATTTCACGTTTCAGCCATTATACACTCGAGGACACATGGCACAATGGATAAAGGCATTAGTTAGATCCAGTGACAGGACCTAAAGAGTGTGAGTTCAATACCTGGTTAAGGCAGTGAAGAACTTGGAGAGGGGAATTAACAGGAGATAACTGATAACTGACATCCATTAGACATGGCACGTGGAACTAGAACAGTCTACCCCAGTGAGCAAAATAAAGGGTTCAGTTCGACATTCCAACCGCCTGAAGAAGGCTGGAGTGTACAACAGCTGAAACATTATGATAAATATAGCAACAAAGATGAGGATGATAGTCCGAACAATGTATAGTGTACATAATACCTCATCTCAAAAATATAGACAGATACTGAAAGATAATTATTATTTTAAAAATATTTTTGCAATCTTATGTATAAATTTTTAGAATTAAATCAGGGTTTCTGATACTAAGTAATCTTGTACTATTTGTTGCATGTTACTTGGAGAGGAGATGGGTTCTGCTGAATAATACCACTTGCCCACTGAAATGTCAAACCCTGATTACTTTAGGACAAACAAACCAATTTTTTTCTCACATCCATTACAACCAATTCCAGTGAGTGATTCTACTTATTTGTTTGCTTATATAGCAGCTACCATTTATTGCCTAGACAAACTTGGTTCATAGTTAACCTCTGTTGTTAAATGCATGATATTTATTGGCTGAATAGGTTTGAAATATTTTAAGTATTTTGCCATGTTCAAGTAGTGACTTGTCACTGCCTTCTATCAAGTGGATGATTGTATCATCTCCACCACTTTCTTCACTGCTTGCTATTTGAAGGCTTTTTACATCTTTGTTGCCTAGCTTTTGTTTTATGACTTTCACCCTTTTTTATTATGGTCGTACTGTATTCTTCTTCAACAGTAAGCTTTCCTAAAGTTTAATAATCTCATATAGATAACAAAAAACAGCCCACATAATAATAGCAGACTCATCTCTCAACTTGCTTGCACATTAGACAAAGTGGAGAGTAATAGGCATGAATTGATCTTGGGTTAATTCCAGGTTTGAATCTTCATTTTGCTCTGTACCAATTCTTTTATTTCTAAAGCACAATTTGTGTCACATTTCATCATTTCTTATTGTGTTACAATAATACTTCCTAACAATCCTTTCGCTTTTTTTTTTGTCTGTGTGTGTGTATATCAAAAATGTACTTCTACTAAATGACTTGGTTACTAAGCCTCCAGACAATACTTTTTGATTGCACTTGAAGGTAAGTGTCTTGCCATTCCCTGATATATCCAGTTTATAGTAATGTGCATGAAATATTTTCCTACTGTTCACACAAAAATAACGAGTAAAACTTTGTATCAATGGAGAGGCAAGTAAATAAATAAATGAAGCCTCTCTATCACATCCAGAGAATAAAAAGCATAAATTTTAAACAAATTCTCTAACTATTGAGCTACGAGTCAGATGAATTGAACATTCCCAATACCACAACCCTAGAATAAATACTCTTGATTGCTATCTGCTTATCACTGCAATGTGATATTTTCACAAAATGACCATATTGATGTCAGTGTGCTAAATTATTATATTTTTGTATGTAAATATCTAACTTCTTTTTCTTGCAGAGACTTTGACTCCAGACTTTATTTGTGTAATGGTGCTTTTGGTTTCCTGGAATGGGAAACCTTTCTTCGTCTGAGTCGAGGTTTTGTGTTTCCTGTGTATGCTGTAAGTCATGCAGTTCTTATATATCTGCTGGCTCTGACCTGCTTCAAATATTGGAGGTTAGTATGTCACCATCTATTTTGCTGCTGGATTATTGTAGAAAATTGAAATATTTTTTTTATCATTTCATCCCAAGCAAGGCAATAAAGCCACCAAGATGCAAGGGGTTACTAAGTGAGAGAATATGAGAAAAAGAAAACATTAAGGAGAGAGAAGAATAAAAGAACAGGAATTAAAAACACAGAAAATAACGATTGACATTGGGGTTTTAATTTTTGAAGATCAAATTTGAATGAAAAGCAATAAGCCGGAAAAGAGTTCCACAAGCAAGAAGTGCGAGAGAAGAAACTGTTAGCATAGAACTTACAGTTACGTCTAGCCATTTCAACTATAAAATGAGATCTTGCCACTAATCTAGTACTGCACTTAAATTCATAAAGTCTAGGTACGAAAGAGAAAAGCTCATCAGAACAATTACCATAAAAATATTAAAAAAATTAATGCTAAAGCAATGGTAAAGTGACTGGTGTTAAGATACCAGGTCAGGACCAATAACATTGCATATTCTTTGGATTTTATCAAGAATCTCTAAGTACATAAGTGAAGTACCAAACCAGATGTGGCAGCAATATTCACTGACTTATGTGTAAAATTGGGAACTGTCAAGAACTCACCTAAGCAAACTCCTCTAAGTAAAGCAAATATTTTAAAGCATCAAAATTGGGCCGAAAAATACATGAAAATTGACTTTTCTAAAGTAATTTCCATGGACAAATCTCTAATAGCACTCAGTGGACCTAATGGATGAACCAAAGGATGGATTCTATTGTATGTAGATATGCCTGTGGCTAAAAAATGGCAGCAGTGTGATATGAGCTTGAATTGTCAACCATACCATTATTGAACCGTTCAAATTTGATGACAGAGTTAAACTGAACACTGCTAACTATTGCGATTTCATGGACAAAACTTTTCCTTGAATGGTACAAGTCCCAGCCTCACAGTTCGAAAGTGAAATGTGTATTTATGCACAACAATGATCCTTCTCATTTATCTAAAGTTACTCATGATTTTTTTTAGCATAAAAACTTAACAGGAGAGAAGATAACTGAGTGGCCACCATCGTCCTGATCTGAATCTGATTAAAAATCTGTAGTTAATTGTGAAGATTAAATTATATGAAGCTATTGGTGCTTACTTTAAATTTAATAAACATACATTAAATTTATTGATTTTTTTTTTTTTTTTTTTTTTTTTAAAGTAAGCGAATAACACTTTGCAACTGTGGCTTTTATTGATGTCTATAATAACTAAATTTGATATGGGATTCAATCTTCCAACTAACATGAGGGGGTGTGAGAAAAATTTATATCTGGTTTAAATTAACTGATGTCTAACAAAATAAATTTAATACTGCATTTGTTTTTAAAACAATTCAGATAGATATCAAGCACATTTTCATCATCTTCACTGCTGTCTGTAGGAAAGTCAGAGGAAATTATCATGTCTTTTATGTTGTCAGCATAGTAGTTTTTGTCATCTTCAATGTTGATATCATTATCAAAAGTTATCTTATCCTTCTTCCACCTGAAAAGATTTTTTTTTTTTTTTTTTTTTTTTTTTTGCACTGATTTTGCCATGAGGGTCTCAAGGATGCTCTGCCCAATTAATAACCACTAGTCAAAGGCAATGTTTTGTTTTGTTTTTTATCATTCTCATTGTGTGAGCTTGTTTTCATTAGAAGTACATTCCATTTTTTTTTTTTTTTTTTTTTTTGTGCGACCATATCCATGCATTTGCTCTAAATAATGTATGAAGTTTGTTTCAAACCATAATGTAGATTATATAAATTCCAATTTTTATTTGATGTAATAAAAAGTTGAGAAAAATATTAAATTTAAGTGCTACAAATTTCAAAAATTCATTGTATAAGAGATTTTTTTCTAGAATTTCATAGTCCAAAGTTAGAAGTGCCATACACGAATAATTATACTAATATACATATTCACAATCAATGTGAGGGGAGTAAAACAAATTACTCATATTTTACAATTTAAAAATTTTCACCAGTGATTTTAAAATGCGGCAAACAAATATTTCCAAAAAAATACATTAGCTATCTAATATGATAAAAAAAAAAAAATCAAGCTAACTGGAAAATGATGTGTGGAAAATACAAAACAGAAATCAAATTTAATAAAAATAAATATAAAGTGAAATATTCCTACATTGACATGGAATTTTATTTTCCATCATCTAATAGGGAGGGAGGGAGGAAGAAGAGAAATGCCATGAATTAAAACTAGCTCAAGGCTATATGCTAAGTATCTTAAATGGCCTGTTCATCCAACTGAAGGAATTAAGGAGAGGAAAATTTCTCTGAGCCCAGTCACAAACTCACAGACATATTGCAATTAATTTTGGCCCCTGTGACTTTAATTATGGTCACAACACACATCCCTTAAGTTGATTATCACAACTTCATTATTGACTTTCTATGTGATCATGCACACCAAACACAGGTTATCTTGGATCACCCTATGCTTCCTAGATAGAAGTCTGTTCAGGAGTTATCAAATGATCCAGCATAACTTGCAAGCAGTTTACTAAGACTAAATTGTTTTAATCTTCAGCACCTAAGTGCTGATAATTACTAATCCCATCTCCACCATGTTTGTGCTTGTGTAACAACTTCTATACTCCTATTGAAGAATACTTTTTTGTTTTATCCACTTGTTATAGATGAGTGCCAGCAAGGGGATAAGCGTGTGTGATAGCCTCAAGTGCACTTCATACAAAAAAAAAAATATCAATTCCAGGTGTTTTCTTCATCCCAACTTTTTTCATTGCTTCTCAGATTTCATCCTCTGTTATAGGGACCCTCACACCTGGCTGATTCAGTTGCCTTGAAGTGAGGAAAATCAGCTAAGTAGGCATGAAACAAGCTCAGACTAGGTTCTCTGGTAAAAAGCTTCTGGTAAGTAATCACAAAATACTTCACAGATGCCTTCATTTATAGTCAAAGTTTGTTTATCTGTTGATCAGTGGCATTCCAGAGTTTATCTGCTTGCAATTCTGCAGCCATGTTGCATTAGCAAACATTCTTTCTAATTTAGCATTCTTTCTACCAAAGCCTGGTTCTTCTTGATAAGCAATTTTGCCATAGTTATCACTACTTGGCCTATATTTCTCCATTTTACAGCCATCTCTACTCTAGATTCAAGTGCTTTTTGTGCTGATAATGTAAGTTAGCAGCTAAAAATCTAACTGTACTTTTGAGGTGGTCCTACCACTTATTCTCAACTACAGCCCATCTCCACCCACTTTTGGATTAGTATTAATCTGGTTGAACCTATTGTCTGAATAAACCATACAATGGAAACTTGAATAATTTAGGAGTTCTGAGTCAATTTTCCTAACTAAAACTCTATTGATGCTGCTAGAACACTGCACCAAACCTGTGAAAACTATCAACAATATCACATAGTGAAAATGTCAGAAAAAATGTCTTAATATTCCCTACTGTCATTGGGTTCATAAACCCCACTATGACAAATACTTTCTTCTTTTTATATCCAACACACACAGTCTACCTGTCGGACCTGTGAAGTTAACCGGTGATGGGGGGGGCTTAGTATTTGTCAAATAACTATCAAAATATACATAGGTGAAACTTCAAGAACAGATGTTCATAATAATTTGGAATGAGTTAATTTTCTTGCACACAACATATAGGTAGCAAGTGAATGTATTCTTTTAGACTACAATTACACCTCTTGGCCATTTAAAGATAGTAACCAGAAGGCTATGAGGAATTCAGAGTATTGCCTGACTTGGAGATGGGGTGGGGGATACCTACTGAAATCAAGAATAGTGATGACTTATTTTATGGACCTTTGTTCTGGAACCTATACCCCAATATTGCTCAAGAAGATTAATTTTACTATAGAGTGAAGGATTAATAGACACAGTGACCCTTTCAGAACAAAACTGTTTAACATGTTTATTTTAAAATTTGCCAGTAGAGGCATTTCAACTGATTTGTTTGTTTCCTACAATATTGCCCAAATCTGCCATATACCCTGACCAAATTGTGCAACACTGAAAAGGTTTGGGGCTTGTGTAAAATTTGTGAGAACCTTCACATTTTTCCCCCAGTTCCATTATGGGAAAAATCGTTGAGGACCTTTCAAGTCTTTCAGTTATGTAGATGAATATTTTGTTGTAACTAATCTGAAGGAAGACAGGCCAATGAAGAAGGTAGACATCTCTGCTGGCCTATTCTTCTTTGCATTCAACATTTTTTTTTTGTTTTCATTATCAAAATCCTCTCTTCTTTTTCCAGTCTGGCATTGATGCAGCTTTTCATTTTCTCTGCATACAAATATGGGGCCACTCCTCAGGGGTCATTTGTATCATTGAATCTGGGGACCAAAAGTAACTAAGACCTCACTACTTGGAGCTTCCTTCTGTTTTTCTCACCATTTGCCTTTTACATTCAGATTTCTCTGAAGAGCCAAAACTGTTTTTGACAGTAGTGAAGTCCAGGGAGAGGAGGGAACCAAGATGTGGCCTAACATCTGGCTGGTAGCAGGTGAGACTGCAATTGCCTCCTTTTCCATGGTTGAGGTAGGTGGAGGAACATCTTGATGCACAATAGCTAATTCTTCAACAGGATCATCTTTCCAAGACAATCTGCAGAAGGATAACCAATCTCCCTACAGTGGTGGTTTATTTCCTGAAATGATAACTGGTAGCTTCCAGTCTTCAGCATCCAAGTAGCTGGGAATTGAAGTGAATACTTTGCAATTGCTCTTAATGTCAAAGTTCCACTCTCCATTTGATCAAGACTCATACACATGATTTTCCCATACTGAAAGAAGAATGCAACTAAATGGATGCCAAGACATAGCTGTGTACCACAAAAATGATCACTCTACTTCATTAATGACAACTTTAAATCTGTGCAAAAAATATTTTCTTTCATAACTAAATTTGATACTAGCTAGTCTGTTAAACTCCAAAACTCAAATTTAATCATTTAGTCATTTGTGGGCTTGACAATTCCTTTTATTTTATTTTTTTTTTTTACTATCAACTATCAAAGACAGATACAACTTTCTTTTTGATGACCCTCAATTTGGGCAAATCGACCTACAATATGCTAGACATTTTTTCTGCAGATGCTGGTGGATTGGGTGGGTGATTAATTACTTTCGCTTGCCAGGGAAACAACATTTTGTAATTTTCTTCATGAAGCTCCCTGTGTTTTCTTCCTGGATGAAAGCTGGCATCAAAGTTTTGTGCCAGCATGGAAATATCAAGTGAATCTACAATCTTCTTGATTTGCTCCTGCCTATTCAGCTGCTATAGCCCACAAGAATAACTTCTGATTATACCAATGCAATAGTTCCAATCATGACAGATACCTCTTTATATCCATTTGTATTGAGTGTAAATGTGTCCTCAATGAGACAAATTAACTGACTTAACAATGATAAAATGAGACATCATAAAACCTCTCACAAGTTTGGTTCTAGAGATTACTGGCAGCACTGTAAGAGTGTTGTACAAGAATAAATCCTCAATCCTTCTTTTCTTCAATCACTTTGAAGTATCATCATCTGCTGATAAAGCAGAATGTTTTGCTCAGAAATTCTCTCCCAACTCCACTCTCAATTCATCAGGAGTATCTTTGATTCTAGGGAGAAAATCAGACAAATTTCTACCCAGTGATATGAACATAACACTGTCCATAGTTTCTGCTCTCATCTCTAAAATAAATCTCCAAAAGGTTTGTACCTGAACTGGCTCCTGTTTTCTCCAAGCTCTACAGTAAATGCCTTGCTAATTTTTGCTTGCCAGCTTGTTAGAAATCCTCTTCTGTAGTTCCTGTTGAACATTTTCATCCATCAAATTATTGTCCTATTAGACTTTTATTTCTTTTTGGCAAAGTATTAGAAGCTCTAATCAACTCTGAATTTGTTAAGCATTTCACTTCACATGGCCTTATTTCAGATAGACAGTTTAGCTTTCATCGCTTTATGTATGCCACCAATGTGTTAACTGTATTCACTGAATTTGTCTATCAAGCTTTAGATAAGAATGGCAAGACTCAGGCTGTGGTTTTAGATATCTCAAAGGCATTTGGCAAAATTTGGCATGCTGGCCTTCTCTACAAACTCAAGGGTCTCTGGCCAGATATTTGACTTAATCTAATAGTTAATGAAATTCATGTTGAACAGCCACTCTTCTAGATCATTTCACGTTAATGCAGGGGTCCTCCAACGCTCTATCCAATGTTTCATCAATGACCTTCCCAGTGTCAGATTTATAAATCATTTGTTTGTACATTGAATATTGTTTCCATATCTGGTCTGGTGCTCCAGCCATATATCTCAAGATTCTCAACAAAATCCAAAAAAGGGTCTGTAATGTTATCGATCCTGACCTGACACTTTCCCACTTTGACATCTCTGTGGCTTCACTCTTTTTTTTTATAAATATTTTCATGTACATTGTTCTAACAAGCTCTTCTCCTTGTTATCTCAACCAAATATGAATTTAAGCATTACTACTAGATTGGCTTCTAGGTCTCATCATTTCTTACACTTGAAATGGCTATAAATAAGTTCTATTCTACTTTCTTTTCTTGCATTTCTCATCCTCTGGAACTCTCTTCCAGTTTCTTGCTGCCTACAATCTTCAAAAATTTAAATGCAATGTCAATTGCCATCTTATGTCTTCCTGAATCCTGTTCCTTTTATTGTCCTTTCTCCTCCCTAAAGTCTTTCGCTGCTCTTATGTCTTAGTGTCTTTATTGACTTGCTTGGGATAAAATAATTAAAAGAAAAAATTATTTAAAACTATTCAAACCAAGGCTTAACCAACTTCATTAGGGATTGGTTAGTTGGTTGTTGTTACAGTATTATCATCATAAAGAAGCTCCTGCCAAAATATTTTATACATTATGACATGAATAATAATACAGTTGAATTCACCAACAAATAATATTTATTACTTATTATTCATACATGAAAAATATTCTCTGTTTATATTTTTCTTATACTATTACTTTTGGACATGTTTTTATTTTGTTGTAAGTTATTAAATGTAGATTGTGTAAAGTTTATTCTTGTGTATACATCCACCTAACACTTATAAATGTCCCCACTTAAAATATTGTTGCTGTTAAGTTTTTCTTTTAAATTTTATTTTCCATAAAAAAAAGGAATACTGTGCCAATAATTTCAATCAGCCATGTGTGTATTGAAGCTATACTAGACATATTACTTTGGTCTTTCTGTAGATAATGTAGTTGCAATGGAGAAGCTTGATGCAGTGTTGCGCAAACCATATCTGGCATTAGATTATACAAATAATTATTATAAAATGTATTTCCTAAACTACACTTTTATTTTACATTTTGATTAAATTCTTTTTCTAATTCCTAGAATGACTGAATTTATTCTTTGTGTTTTAAAGAACAAAGTGTGACAGTTGATTTCCCAGAATGATTGCAGTGTGTAAATATTTGTTTCTAAGTATGTCTAAACATGTTACAACTTCTGCTTTCTTGAGACCAGATGAGTCATTTGTTGCTGAACAATAGCAGAAGTTGACTGTGTTAATGTTATATTGTTGGCAGAATATGTGTGAAAGGAATTTTGAGTAACAGATTAACATCAAGTTTTGTGTGAAAATTTGTAAAAGTTAGCACCCTATTAAAAATGCTTTATGATAAACATGCTGTGAAGAAATCAAGTTTTTGAGTGGTACAGGCAATTCAAGGAGAGGTGAAAGGATGCACATCTCTTGATGACACAAAATGTGTGTAGACAAAAACACAAAGAACAGATGTAAATGTGGTCAGAATTGCAGACCTTGGTGCTTTCAGACTGAAAATGGATTACAGAAAAACTGAATATGAATAGGGTAACTGTGATTGAGATAATAGCTAATAATGACTAGATTAGCAAACAGCTTTCATAGGGCCAAACCAGGGATTTAAATTGTCACACCTTGTAAGTCAATTTGTGAATGAGTTACCAGATGTACATATTTAAGAATTTTTTTTTTTTTTCAGCATGAGCCCAAATTCAAACATAACACGAAATCGAAGTTTGCTAAGATCTCGACCTGATATGGCCTTTCACATAGGTTGGTAGAACCGTTGTATATACGTAATTATTTTGTAATTAAATTGATAATTGAATATATGTATTCATTGATGTGAATGTAGATAAGTTGCTTAACCCAGTTTTGAATCAGTAAGTGTTGCTTTATAAGCCCCTCATCATGTGTCTGTTGCAATAAGGATGCTAAACTTAATGTTTTGTTTTTTTTATTTTTAGTATAACAAATAAAAATGATATTTTTATAATTTTTCTTATCACCCTTTTCATTAATGCTTAATATATTGGAGAATGATTATAAAGGCTTTATACAAAGCTTCTTTTTTTCTATTTTTCTAAAAATCTCTACATTAGCTCAATAGAGACCTGCATAAATATATCAATCTGAATTCAGAAAACTTGAATTTACTGCAATGTCATGCAACTCTGCTAATTGTGGGTTATTTTTTTTTTAATAAAGGAAGTGGGCAGTGAAAGAAGTTTAAGTAATAATGCTTCAGATGATATGAAAACCATTTGAACAGAAGTCATCATAAAGACAGAAAAAAAGCAAAAGCATTTCTATCATAACATAATAAAATATCTTTATAAACTATAATATATCCCTCGAAAATAGAAAAAAATATATCCAACAAATTCACCATTAAAGTTAACAGCAAAAGTGAAATGTAAAATTTGTTTCAATATTCAGATCATCATTTTTAAGATGTTATGGATGCTATAAACAGAAAATTGCTATTACAATAAAAAAGGAAAAAGAAAAATTTTAATTTATGAATTATCATCTCTGTACTTATATTTTGGAAACTTGAAAAAATATCCTGGAAGACATTTTTAGGGTCATTTAAATATTAGCTAGAGGGATTGAAAAATTGAGAAAAAACCTTTTTGTAAATTTACTCAGATTGGCTTACTTAAACTATATTTTGTATTAGAGTATTGTTTCCTGATTATAAGTTCCTGCAGATATTTAAGCAATAAATACTAAAAATCCAAATGCATGTTTTATTATTTTGACCATGTTGATCTAGGTTATTATACACACAATATTCAGGTCCTTTTCAAGTATCTGTCATCATTGTATTCTAACATTGAGAATTTTGAACCAAATTCTTTATTTAGTCTATAGAGATACTTTAGATTTTCTATTTTTCATATTTATGGAATATTTCATATCAGTTAATACTTATTTTGTATCGCTTGTCCATTTCTTCTACTGTATATGATGTTACAGTATTACCAAGCGCAGCAATTGAATTCACATATATTTGAACTCACATTTTAATTCACTAAACCATGTCTCTTTAACAATCAAGTAGTGTAATTTTGGGAGCTATAATCCTAGTCTGGAGTCAGGACACACTTAAATTAGGTCATAGAATTTTTAAGTTTCCTTTTTCTCAATCAAAGGCTTCCAGATGTTATTCATCTCTATGCTAGGTATTTTTAATGCTGACTATCTGGATTCTTGATGTCAAATAATTAAAATTCATGCAATACTTGAACAGGAAAATGAACAGTAAAACCTGGAAAAGTCTAACATCCACAATTGTCAGTGAATAACATGTCTGCAAATGAATGCTCCATTAAAGATTTTATATTTTGTTATTCTTAAAACTGGAAAATTTTTCATGTCTCTATTTTAGTGCAAGCTGCTTTCTTTGGATGCCTGGCCATGAGCACATTACGGATGAAGTACTTATGGACCCCCTACATGTGCATTTTGGCTAGTGTTGGTCTTGCAGACTATAGCTTCTGGAAAACTCTCATTTCAAAATTCTCCAATCGAGAATCAATTGTAAGATTTTTTTCTTCAATGAATGTCACTTTCATTAATTTTTATTTTACATTCTTTTGACAATTCATACAGTAACTGCTTATTCTTTATGTAATGAAGTAAAATCAATTTTGTGAATTAATTTTTGACATTTGTCATGTAAATGGTCCTTTTGATGATAAAAAAAAAATAAATCAATCAACTTGCCATTATTCAGTACTTGACAATTTTCTAAAATAAACATTTAATCAAGCATCACAACAACTTGATTCATTTGTCAAACTTTGTTTATCCATTCTTAAAAATGCATAGACTCTTTTATGTTTATTTCCGTCTCTTTCTGCACATTTTCTCTCATTCTCCACAAATAATCTTGTTTTTCTTTAGATATTTCTTTTACGCCATCTTGTCACAGGAGTTGTTCTTGCCTCAGTTTTAATCACTGTAAGTATCTTTGACTTATCTAGTTAAATTAGTCTTTCCTTTTAGAAATACAAATTTTGCCACATCTTTTAATTTTTCAATGACGCACAACTTTTATCAAATTTTTTTTCATTATATTTATTGATTTTTTTTCTCTCTCTCTCTCTCAGTTTTTGCCTGGTGTCTACAGAGAATTAGAAGATTTGAAAGAATTTTGGGATCCTGATACAGTTGAACTGATGGAATGGATTAAGTAAGTTTCTATTTTCATTTGTACACAATGTTAAATTTATGAGTTGAATAAGTTGGAAATTTTTTTTTTAATGAAGCGGTTATGTAAAAACCACCTTGTTTTCTTTTGATTCCAGAACCAATACATCATCTACAGCTGCCTTCAGTGGTAGCATGCAGTTGTTAGCAGGTGTGAAGCTTTGTACAGGTCGGCCCATCACCAACCATCCCCACTATGAACACAAAGGCCTTCGATACAAGACAAAAGAGGTGAACTTGTCATTCATGAAATTAAGAAGTTTCAAAAGATCAATGCAATTTTTTTTTTTTTTTTTTTTTTTTAAACACATTATCAAAAACTGAAAAATAATACAGAAATCTGTCCACTTGCAATTAAGATGCTGAAACATTCTTGGTCAAACTAGGACACCCTTCCAAAAAAAAAAAAAATTGTTTGGTCACATCTTGGAAAGTATCTCAGGCTGAGAATTTTTCAGCATTCCTTCATAGGTTATAATTAGGAAGTTAATTAGTTTCTGATGTTTTTCATTTGTAATATATAAACACATGAAACCAAATATCCAATCAATTTTTTGTAATCACAGCCAATATTAATTATAGTTGATTTATAATCTGTAAAACCAAAAAGTTTAATTTATTCCTTCTTGTGAATTTCATCCACAAGCTCATCTTTAATTTTTTTTTTTATTTCTTCCAGATTTACCAAATATATGGCCGGAAACCCCCTGCTGAAGTATATTCGATCTTAAAAAACTATAGAACAAATTACATAATTTTGGAGGATAGTATTTGTCTGTCTGCCTCTCGGGAGGGTTGCCGCACACCTGATCTTGTTGATGTAGCTAATGGAGAAGTGAGTATATTTGAACCAATATCTGCTATTAAAAATTTCCTATCTGCAATGTGACATTAAATGAATAAATAGGATATAATTTGGGATTAGAATATCTTCATGACAAAGTATGTTGCAATGAGCCTCAAACATTTCACTGTTAATTCAGGCATAAATTTTGTTGACTTTTATATCTTATATCAAGACTAATAATTGTTTATTTTATTCTTTACCATTTTACAGATTCCAGAGTTTGGGGAAAAAGAACCTGGTTTAGTCCAAAATACACATCCAAGATTCTGCCATGAAATTCGTTATGGAAATGAAAATTATGCCAAATATTTCCGGCTTGTTTTTGAAAATCGGACATTTCGTGTGTATAAACTGTTGTGAAAAAGAAAATTCACTTTATATAAGGTTTCTATGTGATTTACCAAAAGAGCTGCATCTTTCTCTTGCTCAACTGGATGTGCTACTTAACTTTCATAGCACAACTAGTACAGTAACAACAATGCATTTATCATTCATACAATAAAAATACGTGAATTGTCTGTATATTTGTTTGATTCCACCTTTAAAAAAATTGTCAGCTTTGTAGAGATAAAAACCATTCCTACTATGGACACAAAGGTCTTTGATACAAGACAAAACAGAAGAGCTACCATTTCATGAGATTCATACATTTGAAGTTTCATAGAAAAAAATAGGAACACTCGATCTAATTATAGGTGGGAGACTTAATATCTTCACAAATATTCATGATGTACAAGTGTGGTATTTTTGGCAGTCTGGTGTTCTCATGAAAATAAAATCTACATTTATGCATTTCACCTGTCTTCAGCAACCATCCTCCTGAACCTGTTACAGTTTTACATTCTTAGAACTTAATTTTTCTGTCACTGATTCAAATTTTTAGATGAGTTGTTAACAATAATACATGTTGGGGCCTGCTCCATTTACAGAAATGATAATTGTTTAAGCCCAATCCTTGGAGAAGACATTTTAAGAAATCAAACCAAAAGATAAATTACTTTTCTAACAATCTCTTTGCAAATTTTCATAATTTAGAATAATTTGACTTGTGTATGTATATATCTTGTAGCAAAGAGACAAGTGTAAAATTGAAGACTTTGATCTGGACATTTCTTTACTATCCTAAATATTTCATAGATATGTATTAAATCTATTAAATATTTTTTTGTGCTTTAACCAATATTTTTTAGTTTTCCAATATAAATTCTTCCCAACTGTTCAAAGTGATATTCTTTATAATAGCAAGTAGCTTTCAATGTGCATATGACTTTGTACAAATTTAGTGCTTTAAGTCTAGATTAGAATAATGAACAGATTGACAAAAAAATACTTAAGGAATTTATTTAAAATGGAAACAAATCAACTTTGATTTGTACTATGCATGAGTTTTAAAATATCAGTGATAAAACTGCAATTTATTAATATATTTATTTTTAGATTATGAAGACATGAAAATGGATATAAAAACTGTTTTCTATTGGCATGATTTCTATTTGCCTCAAGTTAAGGTGTTTATACAAATTACAAGTTCTTATTTCCGAAATGTCCAACTGTCAGCACTTGATTTGAAATAAACTCATATTTCAAATGTTAGAAAGTAAATTTTCATTTTTATATAGAACAATACTGTTGCTTCTCATAGTATTGTTTTAAAATTTCTTTTGTCAAAGGTATGACTGGTAATTTGAAAAGAAAATGACCAGATTATTGAGAGATTTGTGCCAAGAGCAAAACTGTCATATTCTTTACATTAGCATTTATGACCATAGTTCATCAGAAAGAGATTTTTAGATTAAAAGAATACTTAACATTCTCAATGATTTTCAAAAATCCTTTCCAACAAAGAATAGATTCTGCTTACAGTACATGATATTAGCAAATGGTCTTCATTTTTCCATCCCAGAAATATATAAATATTCCAATAAAGAAGCAAGAACCAATATTCTGTGTAAGTTAAATACACATCCATCAATATATAATAACATAAAAGTTCTTTGTTTTTCCTTTTCTTTTAAATTCCATTCATCTGGATGTTGCATTAACATGAAGAGGTGAAGTAACATTCAAAAGGGATGAATTGTGATGCAAATGTTGAAGTTCAGGTAGATGTGACTTGTCTGTTTAATGATGCAAGGAAGACATAACTGAGAAATAAATATCATAGCCAATGGCAAATCCAAAAAATAAAGGAAGAAGAAAGATGAAAGGCATCACCATGTTGGGTAAGGGAAGAGGAATCTTCAATTTGCTGCAAAAAACAATTTGTAAAACGCATAAGTGAGAATTAGAAAAAAATTTTATTGTCTAGATTAGCATTCACTTTTGTTGGGTATAGAAAGTCCCTCTAAAGTCAATTATTTGATGAAAAGCAACTAAAGTATTGTAGAAAACGATTTTGACATAATTTTATTAAAACATATTCACTAAACAAATTGTTCAGAAGCATCTGTAGTTTTTAACAAACATACCAAGACCAAACTTATCCAATGTTAATGTTTGCGTTAACTTTCTATTATTAGTGCTTAAATTTTATATAAAAAAAAAAAATTAACTTTATGGCACTTTGCAGCAATTTGATTAATACAGTAGCAAATTCATACCTCACTAGGTGCTTAATAATGTGACTACAAGTCTTAGGTGGACATACATTTTCTCTAAAAGGTTCTTTTTTTATTATTTTTTTAATCTCCATAAATTTGATCATATTTGAAAACAGAATGTACAAACATTACAGCAATTTGGTTTAAAATCAGTGATTTGTGTACAGTAAATGTATTCTTATATAAAAATAGTTTGAGAGAGGATTAAGTTTTCTGTTATTTGTTTAGAATTTTTTTTTTTTTTTTTTTGAAGAGGATGTGATTAACTTTTTCTTGAAAGCTACAGGTAAAATTATTCATTTTTGAATGTGATTATTTATAAGCAAATAAAATGAATTAACTAGGTGTTTAATATTTTATGTTTCAAGAGTTAAAATAAAAGAATATACTTCATTATTTCTTTTTTTAAAAAACACTTCCAGTTCCAATGTTTTTCTTACTTAAATATTTGTACGAAATATTAATGTTTTGTATGTTAATGTCATGCACATACATAAGTAAAAGTGCAACGACCACTACTACTTCTAAGGCATACATTTTGCATAAAGTTTACTTAAAATCAGTTGAATTCAGAGTTTAATGGATAGCAAAAAAATGTCATCCTTCAACTCATCTTTCAATAATTCAAACTCATGCCTTCAACAAGTCTCTTATGTTGGCCAAGTTTTCACTTCTGATTATTATTATTATTAATACATGACAACATCCTCTATATCTAAAGGAAATTTAAAGATAATTCTTATCAATTTAACAAGAACATTTACATTTCAATCAAAATGTTATATACCATGAATGTATAGAAGAGGCACAATTTTAACCAATTTATTAACTTCCAAACTACTCAGCAGTGAACAAAAATCAGCAGTGTTGATGCAAATTTTCTTTTAAGATTGAAATAAAAGCATAGATCGATTTGTTATGCATCTAAAATAACATGTAAAAATGTTAACAAATGTATTTTACAAAACAAAAAGTATTTTCTAATTGACTGAGTTGCCATTTAAAGAAAGAGCAGATAATTGGAATAAAGGAAGAGGGAACTCCTCCTTAAATTAAAGGGAATTATTTTTATACTAACCTGTTTTCTTTGTTTCTTGTTGTCAAAAACATGGTGAAAATTAAAATGTTCACCCCATTTAAAGCACTTGATGTAAATTTCTCCATCACATCCAGAAATCCCTACAAAATAATAATTAATATAAGTTAAATATAAACAAATTGCAACATCCACTGCAATTTTAATTGGTTAAGATTCTATTTCTGCCTTTCAAATGATAAGGAACAAATTTCAAAAATCTTTTTCAGATTTGATTAATAAAAAGAAGAAACTTTTAAAGTCACTTTTTAGATTTCCAACACTAATATTTGGCATCATTATCTTAATACAAAATCAAAAGTTGTGAAATTGTTTGGCGAAAATAAAACAATTCATATGCCATGTACTAAAAAAAGTCTTAGACTGAAATTATTTTTTAAATTTATAAATTACTTAGCACCTATTCAGTCATGTTCAAGAAAATAAAAGTGAATTTGGAACAATTCTGAATTAAAAATTTAAGATACAACTTTTGTATCAAAGCTTTAGGATATACAAATAACATTTTTCCATTTATGATTCCAAACATTTTAACAAAATAAAAAAAGTCACTGGGATCAAACAAAAAAAGAGTCTACTAACTGGATGATAATTGTTAAAATTCACAGGAAGATGGCTTGAAAAATTAAGAAAATTAAAAACAAAATACATTGAAAAATCATGTTTCAAAATAATTCAAGGGAGAATCAATCCCAAATTTAACAAAGCGGAATGCTGTAAGATTGAGCAAAACCAAGATTACCAGTCCTTCCCCACTTCCCACTGATGAGAAAGAGACCATTAAGGTATCTGCAAAGATGTCAGATAAAAAACACTGTCAATAAAGAGAGCAGGGTGTTCACCAAAATAACATTTAAAGAGAGCTCTGAATTAAAAAAGCCAGGAAAAGAAACATTTGGTTTGAATCAGCCATCCAGAATTGAAGTGTCCTCACAGATAGAGGCCAGCTTGACACATTCATCATTATAATTTTTGTGACATTCGTCTAGAAAAATTTTTTATATCCAAACATTAATCTGGATTTTTTTGGATACAAGTGATAAAGGAAAAATTAATTACTATTTGGGAGTGTGTGACACTATTTAGCTATGGTAATTGGCTAACTAATTAGCCATAGAAATTAAAAATGGGAAATACTTAAGGCGAGAAAGAGCTATATCGAAAGATAGACTGAGTGACATTAAAAAGAAGAATTTATTTTATTTACAAATGAAAGATACTTTACACAAAAGACGGAAAATCAGTAAGAAAAAGCGAGACTGATTCTGTCAAATTAGTTAATGTCACAATAAGGGAGTGATGCGTCAAATGAAACAGAATTCTAAAAGATAAACAAAGCCGGCCAACACATGCAACTGTGGAGGAAATTTGGCTTGGGACCACCCTAGAGAGTGGCCATTGATTATCTTTCAGAGATATCATTTAACTTTAATTCCTGATTCCAGCAAGGGAAGCCATCTGAAAATTAAGGGAATCTTAACATGAAAAAAAGAGAGTCGAAAAGGGGATCATTATTATTGCTTATTCAAACTGTTGACTTGAAAATGAGCATCCGGTGATAAGAGAATTTTAAAACATGAGAAAAATAAAGAATTTAATTGTCAGGTGGGCACGGCCAACCAGTTAAATTTTGACCAGCGGAGAACCCAGATGTCAGGTTTTTTGACAGTGATTAATGAGTCGATAGAGGTCCGGGCTAAGTGGATTTGGGTGTCCCCAAAATTACGATGTGATAAAGAATTATTCAGCAATCTGGGAATTGTAAAAGAAAAAAGGAAAAAGAAAAAAAAAGGATTTTGTAAACATGAGGGCCAGTCTAGCCACACCCACACTGCCAAGAGATCATTGGCTAAGTGGTAGCATGGGTGATAGGTGGAGGTAAATGTATGAGAAAGATGGAGAAGTTGTTAGCGCCCACTGAGGGGATTGGTAGGAGAGGAAGAGTCTAGGAGGATCTCTCCTCCGACCTTCCCTCACGGACGAGGGGGAAACCCCACCCTAAATGGAAAGTGATTAATCTTCCAAAAATGGGAAGTAATTAATTTTCCTGGCCTAAGTACAAAGAGAATTCTTGTTGGGAATTGGAAATTGTCAAAGAACCCAAACCACGACAGGTCCCACCCCGGAGTTGGTCGGTGTCCATATAAACAAACGTCTCAAGGCAGCTGAGGAGAGTTTCGGCAGAGCCAGACATGGCCGGCATTACAGAGTCAGAGTGTTGCCTCGCAGAAGCTGACCGAAAGATTTCCACGTTCTTTTCAACTTAGTCTCCCTACCAAAAGCAAGTTTTTATTGACGAACGACTTAAGATACCATAACTCACTTAAGAAACGCAAAAAGTGTCACGAATCCATAGAAACAGGCTGGGAGAGAAACACATTCCTGTATTCAACAGATAGATAAAGATAATTGTTATTTCTCAACATATTTGAACCTCGTGAGTGTGTTTTATTATTTTTTTTACTTATGTTTGTGTGATATCACCTTTACCCCAGATTCAGCTTGCACTACGGCCCGACGCCTGATTAATTTCATCTACCTAAGATCAAAATCACAATGTGGGTAGGTTAGACTTGAGATCAAAGTAGTTACTTCGGTAACCAGATGTTGAAATTGAGCTGGGAACGACAAGATCGACCGGGACACAGGCTGGTGGCAGTGACAACAAGTCGACCCCAAACGCTGGTGGAAGAAACCTTACAGCTTCACGGCGCAACTGGGAGTTGACCACGGGCCGACGGTGCAGTGTCATATATTGACGTCATGACCAGTGGACATCACATATTGGCGCTGGACTGCGACTGTGACCACCGGTGGGTGTCACAAGTGACCATTGTCAAAAAAGCTGTGTGGTCTGTTGATCATAAAACACATAAACAGAGGAAAGATACACTTTTGTTTTTATCACTAGAGCAATTGGGAATAATTTTCTTTCCCAATTCTTGAGCAATCTGGGCAATTGGAAAATCACAGCATGGGACAAGCTGATAAAGAAAGATTAATGATTGAACAATGCCATCTGGAAATTGGATTCATCACACCAGCCCTAGGAGCAGGCTGAGAAAGTAGAAGGAAGAGTGAGATTAGCACCATCTATATGAAGCAATGGTGAGACATGAAGGGAGTTGGAGTTAAGGGGCAACTTGATTCCTCTGACCACTCAAAATTTGGAAAACCACTTGAGTAAATGTATTTTTATATATGGAATTTTAGAAAAAGTTGATTCTTAGGGTTGAAGACAACCGAACCCAGACACTAGTCAATTTCACCTCTGCCGGATGCAGGACTCTAAATCATAGGTTTGGACAACTTGCAGAGAGTCCCCAAACTACTGCAACTGACCAAAACCTTGTGCCAGCCTTGGTCAGGAGGTTCGAATGTTAAGTTACTACTAAAACAAGCTGCAGACTCCAAAGGGGATCCCAGTGTCATTTGATCATAACAAGTGGTAAGGGTTAAAACCACTGTATACAACAAAGCATATATAAACCAAATCATTGTTACATTTTTAATTCTTAATTCCAAAGGATTCTTTTTTTGTGTAGCTCCCACTTGCTGAACCATCTTCACTTCAGCTTGTTTCATCAGCAACCTTCTCATCTTCTCAGATAAAAAAACAGAGGAGTGAATGATCAAGAACAGACAAATACCAGCTAAGTTGATTAGAACTATGCCTACCATCATGATAACGAGTGAAGAGTCAACCAGATGGTAACTACAGTTGTCTAAAGGAACTTGAGGGCTGACTTGTGGTTACCATTTTATGGTCACCATTGACGAGAATTGACGGTATAAACTCCAATATGAAATGAGAGACTGACAAAAAAATGTTGTCATCCTAGAACCTAAGAGAACCTAAAAGAATTTACTAAAAGGCAAAAATTTTTTTACTTTTAATATAACACTATATCCTTCATATTTCCCCCCTACTAGTCAAAATGTAAACAAATATGACACCCCACGGTCAAAAGCAATGGTGAGAGGAGTAACCTCTATTGGTTGCCTCAACTTCAAGAATGGTTTGGCCCAATGGACTTGGTCATTGCACTGGACATTCTAGGAGATATTATTCCTTATTGGAAGCACTCCTCAGCCAGTTATCGTTATCTTAAGACCAAACCAGGTACAATGATACCTTAGTGCCAATTGCCATTGAGTTTCTCAGCATCTTCTCACTCCTTACAATTAGCTCCTTTCCATCTCATTACATGACAGCCAGTCATAGAAAATATCAGCAAATTTGATCTGAATAATGCAGTCTTGTCTATCTTTTCAACAAGAATAGTAAAACCATCTTTAATTAATGTAAGAAGTAAGAATGAGGAATAGGTAAAATGTTTTTATTCTTGACCAAGATTTCAACATGTAAAAATGGATGATTAATGTCAAATAAGCATTTTTGGACTTAAAAAAAAATTTTAAATATTTTATTCAGAATTGTACCAAAGAATTTATCTTCTTGTTCTTGAAGGTAGCAAAAATGAAAAGGTGTGTGTAAAATTAAAACATTTTTCATTTTTTTTTTGTAGATATATTCACTTACCTTTGGGTTCAACATTGCAATTATAAATATTATTCCAAAGAGTATTAATGATATAAAACTTGAAGTACATCTGAAAACAAATGAAAAAGTTACAATAATTAGTACAATTAATTTAAATCAAAAATGACTTTCCAAGAAAGTGTTTCAGCTTTTAAAATTGGTCCTATGCAAATCATATTAATAAACATAAAAAACCCAAAATATTTTAACCCCCCTCATTGCAACCTTCTTTCACCTCACCTGCTGCTGTTGACCACAGCAGCAGGTGAGATGAAAGAAGGTTGCAATATTTTAATGACATTATCAACCCTAAGTGAAATGTATTATTATTGTTTTATGTTAAATACATTGAAATAATCTTGGTAATTTTCCATTGTATCAAAATTTGATTTCTGATACCATTTTTATGTTATACAATATAATTAAGAGATAACCATTCCAAAATATTAAGCATTTTTAATCATTTAATAGTTTTGTAATTTCAATAAAAGTAAATCTCATGAATCCAGACCATGTCCAAGAGAGGGGAACAGAAGTAGGTAATTCTTTAATAGGATCAGAATTTTAAACTAAGTTTAATAATGTTTACTCAGATTTGAGCCTTTGGAACAATTTTTTATGAGAGATTTTATAAAGAAAAAGAAAGACAACTTACTTTTTACCAATATCCACTTTTTTTTTTGATTCTTCTGTATATTTTGATGAAAAGCATTTTGGTAAATTGGATTCAACAATGCCACAAACTGAACAAATATATATAAAAATGAAGGAAAATAATGGGAAAAAGAATGACAACAATGAAATGCAATTGTATAAAAAAAAGACATCAAAGAAAAATTAATAAAAAGAAATAGAAATAAAAATGAAAAGTCAACAGTAAAAATGAAGCCATTTTTATGTGTATAAAAGTCAAATAATATTTACTGCTGTTTGACAATGGAGAGCAGTAAAAATTAATGAAGAGGAAAGTATAGATGTGAAAACTAACATGCTACTAAATGTAACATGCTACTAATTTCATTTAGTAAAATGATAAGTCATTTATAAAACTAATATGCTTTGTTGGTCACTTACTTGTATGATGCATGGCTGTACCCATTGTCATAAAGGAGACAGTGATGCTTATCATTATAAACACTTCAACAACTATAGCCACCCAAAGGAAAGATGGATGCTTATGACGAATGATCTGACAGGGAGAAATAAAAAAACAAGTTTAGTTTTTTCTTCTTCAACAAATGATAACAATTTGAAAAGGCCAAGCTTTCCCATTTAAAAAAAAAATCCAAGCATTCCTTGATTTCTTAATTCTATTATGGGGTAATGTGTACATCTCTTTACAAAATGTTTCTGTATGTGAGAGGATGTCATGGTATTTATGCATCAGTAAATAGAATAAATATACAATAGTTTGGAGATAGACAATATTAATATCTTTTCTCATAAGGATTTTATAGAAATTCACTTGTGAGATAAGAATTGTAATTTTTACAAGTTTTGGATTATATTTTAAAAGCCTCATCCCTAATATTCTGACAAGATGGAGGAAATATTCAAATTAAAAAGCTTTTTTTTTTACTTGAAATGAACAAAAGGAACTTTATATTTACTTAGTAAGAAACTGTATGTAGAAAAAAATCTTTTTTTCCGATTTTGAGATGAGAAATCATCATTGTTATACACTGATTTATTTAAACATCTTGGTTGTTATAATCACAATGTTTCAATGAAGATCAGGAAACTACTTAGTTGAAATTGGTGTATAATAAGTGGAAAGAGACAATTTCAGAGTACAAACAATGACAAAGAGTGGAATCAGTATAATTACTGGACATTTATATATTTTTACCTTTGGGTTCAACATTGCAATTATAAAAGAAATAAAAAAATCTTATTCTACTCCCATCTTAGCACTAAGTTTGTCATGGTGGCTAATGAAGCAAAGAGACATATTGTTTCTCATTAAAATCTCCAATAAAAATAATGGAAATGAACAGAAATATAGGAGTACATTCTGTATACCTTCATAATAATTAAAAGAATCTATAACATACATGCATGCATATACATATCTTCTAAAGTAATAATGGATTTTTATTTATTAATCCAACATTTTTTTTATTACTTTAAATGTTATTATTAGTAGATACCCATATTTAAGTAGATCCTCCTTTTATTTTAAATAGTATTTTATTTTGTCTACTGACTTGAATATTTGAGAAATCTTATTAAAGAATATGTGCCTTTTGCAGAAGAAACCAATGTTAAATCAAATATGCTTGAACCAATTCAGCTACAAAGAGCATTGTGATCAAGCAACATTGTATTTTGCCTTTAAGCACATTTTACTCATTCAGATTTTTCACAAGTTCATAACTGCTATCAAAAACATGAAGCAATTCTAAAGAAATAACAGGTTTTTATTTATTAATGCAACATTTTTATTACTTTAAACATTATTTTTAGTGGATATTTGAGTAGACACTTCATTTATTTTAAAATACTGTTTAAAATGAACATTACACAAATATGGCTATCCACTAAAAATAATGTTTAAGTAATAAAATATATGTGTGGGTGTGTAATAAGCAGATAAATTGTGGTTTGTAGGATTTTTACAAGTGATCTTGAAAATCTGAAATCAGAAAATTCAATGAAAAAAGCTTTATCATATTTGGAAAAAAAAATTGCCCAAATTTTTAAAATCCTTTTGAATTTTTTGTATGAATTTTCATGTTTGTTTATTCTTTTTAAACAAATAAACTTACCATATTTATTTAGTCTAATAATTTGATTTCAGCTACAAGAAATTTAAAAACTGAAAGAACCTGAAGCAAAATTTTCACTTAATTCCCAACTGTACATTTCATGAATATTTTTTGCCAATATTTTTTTTTAATATTAAAAAAGAAAGAAAAAACTCACTCTTGTCAGTGGCTCTGTTGAGATTTCTCCATTTTCTTTTGCACTAAAGAAAAAGATAAAATCGAAAATGTTTTTTTAAAAGTATTTTTATATATAAGCATATATCTTTGTAATTCAAATTTTCATTTAATTGTCATCTTTGAAATTTGAATTTTCAGTCATTTATTATTTTAAATAGAAAAAATACTCAAGAAATTTGATAAAAGAAAATATTTTTTTTTGTGTTTTTTATGTTTTACCTTTTCAGTGAGTTGCATGGAACTGGAGAATGAGAAGATTGGTTAGTTCCAATCATTGGTGTACAGTGTTGGGGTACAATTTCAATCACAGCCCAACACCTGAAAAATGCAAACAGTCTGGAGAGAAACAACATTGACATGCAGATATAGCTCTAAGTTTGAAGATAGATTTATTTTAAATATTTTTATATCTGTATCTGTCTGTATTTATTTTTATTTATTTTTATATCTTCAAACAAGATTCTATATCAAGCCATATATTAATGACACTTATCTTTGTATTACAAAAAAAAAAGAAAATCCAAATGATTTTATACAATCTTTCTACTTCTAAAATCTTTGATTTTTATGGCATATACATTTGTTCTTAATATAGTGTTTGCAATGGAAATGGTAGAAAGAAAGAAAGTTTGAAATCTTGACATTTTAGAATTTTCTTTCAGTTAATAAAAGTGAATAATCTAAAAAATAATCCTGCATTATCTCTAATAATGAATATCAATTCATTTTTCATTACACTAAAGAAACATGTTTCTTTGGTGTTACAGATGAATGGAGGTTGATGTATGTGTTTTATGTCTCCTTTTGCCATGCATTTTCTATTCCTTTATTTCTTCAATGAATTTATGAGGATAAAAAAGACCTCAAGGATTTCATGTTGAAGCACCAACATTAAAAATGTAAAGTTATCAATAATTTTTTTCCAACTATTATGGATATATCTACCTGAATATATCACTTGTTTTCCTAAATCACACACATATGAGTATCTAAAGTTATCATAGCTAGTGGTGATAGTGGGGACAAGCACCCCACTGTCTATAAAATGCTTCCATGACTCTGACAACTAAGTCCAATTCCAAGACAGAGAATGGGCAAAGGTGGAAAACTGGCACCTTATAGGGTAGATGGAGCTTAATTAGCCTAGTAAGGCAGTTCATCTAGGGGAAGGAAAACCCTGATTTAAAACTTCGCTGCCTTGCAGTCAAATCCAAATATGGAAAAAGTTATGGATGTAAATCCAGACAGAAAATACAGAGTGGTTGGCTGTCAACACTGACAACTTTCCAGCAATTCCTGCAGCCAAACTTTACTCAAATGTAATGCCCTCTATTCCTATGGATCTTGTTGGTATAGCTGAGAGGTGGGGGCTCCATATAACATTGCCTATGTCTGTGTCCTGTGAGGAAATTAAAACAGAACTAAAAGTCAAAGGAGTAATTGATGCGAAGAGGGTCTCTATAAAAAGGGAAGGAAAACTAATAGAAATAAATACATATATTTTAACTTTCAACACACCTATCATACCAAAAGAAATAAAGATTGGGTATAATATAGAAAGGGTGGAACAATTTCGATGCTATAATTGCCAAAAATTTGGCCACCATGAGGATGGATGCCGTGGACGAATGGCATGTGGTAAATGTGGACGAAGAGACCCAGACCATCTTACAAATGAATGTAAAGAAACAACTAATTGCGCAAACTGTGGAGGAGATCACCCCACCTACTCAAGAGAATGTGATGCATTCAAAAAAGAAAAAGAAATTATGACTGTGAAACACACCAAAAACATCTCCTTCCCTGAGGCTCGTAGAATAGTGGAAGGATATAGGAAAGGGAAAAACATACTCACAGGTTGCAAGAGAAACAACAACCAAACAAGGTAAATATGAGGCGTTAGTAGAGAAACTACTACAATTGGGACCAAATGACTGGCCTAGGTTCATACAAGAAATCAAACCAGCTATAACAAAACCTAAAGTCACCCTCATAAAACAGCCCAACAAAGAGGAAGGGACCAAAGAAATAGCAACAAAATCAATAGCAATATCCATTTCTAATTCAAAGCAAAAGAACAACAATTGCAAAGAACAAATAGAACAAGTAATCGAAGAAAAACCTGAGAGTACAAACCCAATTCAAATGAAAGATAACAAAATTACTTCTGCCAAACAAGAACCTACACTACCATCCATATCCAAATCACGACCAAAAAAAAAGGAAAAGCAAATACAAAACAAATTTGAAGCCTTAGAATCAATGGATATCAAAGGAGAGAATCCTCAACTACACACAGGAAAAAAAATGAACAAATACAGAACCAATTTGAAGTCTTGGAGCCAAAGTATATTGAGAATCACAATCCTCGACCACCCAAACTAAAACAGCTTTCAAAATAAATGGCTTACAGAATCCTCCAATGGAACATAATGGGTGAGAAGGTCAACCATTGTGAATTGATGCTTCTCATCGCCATTTTCTGCCCAGCAGTCACATGTTTACAGGAAATGCATCAAAAATCAAGACTCACTTCACATTAAAAAATATACATCATACAACTACATAAATGATCAATGAGATAGAGCCTCATTTGGCTCATCAATTATAGTTAATAACAACATCACTCAAAGTGAAATCAAATTAAAGACAAATCTGCAAGCAATTGCAGTATTAGTAACACTACAAAAAACAGTGACTTTCTGCTCACTATACCTACCTCCAAATGATACACTGGACAAGAGAGAGCTGGATGAACTGATTCAACAATTACCTAAACCCTTCATACTGATGGGGGATTTTAATAGTCACAGTGAAATGTGGGGCAATAAGGATACAAACAGAAGAGGGAAAATAATAGAAGAATTTTTAGATCAGAACCAATTATGCCTTTATAACAACAGAGCTAATACATATCTGCACCTAGCAACTGGAACGTTATCAGCCATTGACTTAACAATATGTGATCCCAGCATTTACATGAATTATCACTGGAGAGTACATGATGAGACCTGTGGAAGTGACCACTTCCCTATCATATTAGAAGGCCAGGACAATAAAACACCTCGATGGAATATTCAAAAGGCAGACTGGCAAGGTTTCCAAAATGCATGTCCAGGAAAATTGACACCAGAAGCAAATATAAACAAAGAGGATGATATCACATACTTTACAAACACATTACAAACAATCGCAGAACAAAATATTCCCAAAAGTTCACCCTCTTCTAAATTCAATAACCCCTGGTTTAACACACAATGCAAAGTAACTGTGAGAGCCAGACGAGAATCCCTTAGGAAATTTAAAAATCATCCAACCAAAGAAAATTTAGATGTCTATAAAAATGATAGAGCTAAGGAACGCAGGACCATTAAAGAGGCTAAACAATCATCATGGCATATGTTAGTAAAATGAATTCAGACACTAAATCTAAAAAAGTATGGGACATGATTAGAAAAATTTCAGGGAAAAACAACAGCCAACCTTACCAACATATCACCCATAAGGGCACCAGAATTACAAATGAAAAAGACATAGCTGAACACCTAGCTGAAAACTTTGCTAAAAACTCCTCCTCAAATAATCCTGAAAAAAAAAAAAAGAATTCCAAACAATCAAAAAGCATGAGGAGAAAAAAGAAATTAATTTTTGCTCAGATAACTCCGAAACCTATAACCAACCATTCACGTTAACAGAATTACAAGACACTTTAAAAAGCACATAACACAGCTGTTGGTCCCGATGAAATTCATTACAAATTCCTAAAGCAATTGCCCAGAGGACCAAAAAATACTTACTCAAAATCTATAATGATATCTGGACTACTGGAAAAATCCCAAATATATGGAAACAAGCTACAATAATTCCTATGCCCAAACCTTCCAAAAACCCTACGGATCCAATGAACTACCACCCTATTGCACTCACCAGCTGTGTATGCAAGACTTTTGAAAGAATGGTGAATAAAAGGCTGGTGTGGTATCTGGAAACAAACAAACTGATCACAAAACATCAGGCAGGCTTCAGAAACAAGAGGAGCCCTATTGACCACATAGTAAAATTAGAAACATACATACGAGAAGCTTTCATCCAAAAAGAACACATTGTATCAGTGTTTTTTGATCTGGAAAAGGCATATGATACAACATGGAAATATGGGATAATGAAAGACTTGAAGGAAATGGGACTGAAGGGCAGAATGGCAATACTGATAAAAAATTTTATGAGTGATAGAAAATTCAGAGTGAAATTTGAAGATACCCTTTCAGCTTGGAAAGAACAAGAAATGGGAGTGCCACAAGGCAGTATACTCTCTATAACACTTTTTAATATAAAGATTAACAACATAATTAAAAACATTAATACTGGAACAGAATGTGCCATATACATAGACGATCTAATGATATGCTATAGAGCAAAATATATGCGCACAACTGAAAGGCAACTGCAACTAAGCCTAAACAAAATTAATAAGTGGGCTACAAATAATGGATTTAGTTTTTCTAAAGAGAAAACCAAGTATATGCATTTTTGCCAACATCGTAAAATGCATAATGATCCTATACTGAAGCTTGGTAAGGACACAATAACTGGAGTTAAACAATATAAATACCTTGGTATTATCTTTGACCAAAAACTCACTTTCATACCCTATATTAAGTACCTGAGGAAGAAGTGTAACAAATCTATCCAACTACTGAGAGTCATAGCTCATACAACCTGGGGAGCTGATAAAAAACACTTCTGAAACTCTATTGAACACTAATAAGATCCAAACTGGATTATTGCTGTTTCATTTATGGATCGACAAGGAAATCATATATCAAAGAGTTGAACACTATCCATCTCCAAGGGCTAAGTCTAGTAATAGGAGCATTTGCCACTACCCCAGTTGAGAGCCTGTACAGAGAGGCACATGAATCACCACTGGTAATGAGAAGAGGAAAATTGGCATTACAATATTACATCAAATTAACATCATGTCCCTCAAATCCTACATACAAGTGCATCTTTCAGCCACAACACAGTTTGAAAAAAAAGAAAAGGCCATCAAACCATATGGACTACGAATCAAACAAGGTAAAGATGAAGCCGAAATAGATATATATCCATAATTCACAAATCTGTTAGCCTGAAATACCCACCTTGGTTGGCAAAACAACCAACAATAATACTTGACTTAATCAAGTACTCAAAAGCAAAAACCAGCCCAATTATATACCATGAAGAGCTTCAAAGTATTAAAGGCAAATACCAAAAACACATGGAAATATATACAGATGGATCCAAAGTTGCATGTGCCGCAGTGCACAACAAAG